AGGAGAGCTGGGGAGACACAGGGCCGGAGGATGGTGGCCCGGGAAGGGATTCCCGTCCGCCAGGCCCGTGGCCGGAGCCCAGCCCGGACGAGCCCTCTTGGAGAAACCCAAGCACCAGTGCCTCCCGACAGCCACAGGGCTCCTAACGGCCCAGGAAACGATCAACGAGACAGAAGCTTTACAAGTTCTGTGTCTTCGGAGCTGGAGGCTGGGGCAAGGTCAGGGGCCCCCTCTCCAGCCGTCAGCCCCGTGCAGGGCAGAGGCCCCTCGCCAGCCCCGGGGGCCATCAGCTTCTCCTCGGTCCATCAGCACAGCCCGCCCATCACGGCCACGGTGGCCCCGTTCCAGTACAGGTGAGCTGGGCAGCGGGCCCCGCTCAGTGGATAGAGCAGCGGCCTGCAGACTGAAGGGTCCCAGGTTCAATTCTGGTCAGGGGCATAAGCCCAGGTTTCGGGCTTGATCCCCACTTAAGGGGTCTGCAGGAGGCAGCCGATCCATGATTCTCATTATTGATGTTTCTCTCTCTCTCCCTTCTTCTCTGAAATATATATTTTTTAAACAAAGGGCCCTTGATGGTGAATGGCTGGTGGGGCCCAGAGGGCCCAGAACACGCAGGAGCGGGCAGGGCAGGCCGACGGAGTTGGGGGTCGAGAGCTGTCCAGGGGTTGGAGTGTAAAAGGGAAATCTATCCGAGCTCCGGTCTTTCTCAGCTCTGGACGCGGCAGAGCGACCGGGAGGCGGGAGGCGGGAGGCGGGAGCTCCTGGAACAGCCACGCCTCCCTCTGGGACGCGGTGAGACCCCGTGTCAGGGCCTTCGGAGGCCCTTACAGCCGGTGGGGTCGGCGGGTGGGTAGATGGGTAGGGAGGTCAGGCTTGCCCAGCTCACCTGGGGCTGCATCACTGTTGTGGGTACCGGGCCTTCAGGTCATGGTGAGGGAAGTCCTGATGGCTCCTCCTCCTCTTGGGCCCACAGTGCCTGCATCTGTCTGTCTGTCTGTCTGTCTGGCGGTCGGTCACTCTGTTGTCCTCTCTCTCTCTCTCTCTCTCTCTCTCTCTCTCTCTCCCTCCCTCCACTTACCATATTGCCGCTTGCATGGTTGTGTTTGCGCCCGATGTGCCAGGGATAGCACGTAATGCTTTTCCCGTGGTCCCGTAGGGCCGGCCGCCGTGGCAGGTGGCGGTGGCCGGGCCACTGTGCATAGCAACAGGGTCACTAGCCGCCCCCCGCCGGCGTCCCTCAGACGCGGCCGGCTGACAGTGTAGCCGAGCAGGCACCCCAGTCAGCTGTGCGTTTCCAATGAAAACATCGCTCGGGGCTCAGATGACCGCATTAAGTCAACGCAACCGTATTTATTTATCTTTTTTATTTTGGGGGGAGGGCCCGGGACATGACTCATGGAACCCAGGATTGCTGGACGTGTCACCCTGCGTGACGAGACCGTAATGACTATGGCACAGGCTAGAACACGCAAACGAAGTGCCTTCCAGACGGGCCTGCCTTCCTGGGGGGTTCCCTATGCTCCTGGGAGGAGGAACGCTCGCGTTCTGGGTGTAGAAAAGCTTTTCCATCGTTCCCCGGACACTGGGGGCCTCTGAGGCGGCACCGGCGTCGGGGGTGGGGGTGGGGGTGGGATCCACGGGAAACGTTACCTTTCACACAAGAAGCCGACAGGGCGTGTGGGTCCTGGGAAGGTCTAAGGGGATCTCGTAGCATCATCCCTGGTGCCTGGGGTCCCACGGCTCTCCACCCGCAGGCAGGCCTTGTTTAGAGTGTGCGGTGTATTTTTTAAATAAATCTTTATTGATTTTTAGAGAGAGGAAGGGAGAGGGAGAGAGAGAGAGAAACATCCATGATGAGAATCATCGATCGGCTGCCTCCTGCATGCGCTCCCCCCGCTCTGTCCTCACAGCCGGCCCCCGTCACGGTCAGTGCCGGATGGCCCTTCCCCCGGGAGCTCAGCGCCTGCCCCTCCTCTGGCCCGGCCACCCTGACCCCCTGGATACTCCGCCCCTGGGACCCAGGGAGGCCCCCGTGTCCCTCCGTCTGGATCCTCCGGTCCCTGCGACTGGCCCTGTGGGATCTTCAGCCACCGTCCCTCTGCCCCCCACAGCGCCCCCCTCCTGCCCCGCGGCCTTCGACCTTCACTCCTCGCTTCTCAGGCTGCCCCTGGGCCGTGGTGTCAGGCGTGTTGGGTGGCTCCAGCTGGTGTGGCTCAGTGGTTGAGCGTCGACCCAGGAACCAAGAGATCATGGTTGGATTCCCAGTCTGGGCTCATGCCGGGGTCGCAGGCTTGGTCCCCAGTGGCGGCCATGCAGGGGACAGTCGATTGGTGATGTTTCTCTCTCACCGATGTCTCTGTTTCTCTGTCCCTCTCCCTTCCTCTCTCAAATCAATAACAATCTTTATAAAGATTGACTTCAGAGAGAGGAAGGGAGAGGGAGAGAGAGAGAAACATCCATGATGAGAATCATCGATCGGCTGCCTCCTGCACGCCCCCTGCAGGGGATCGAGCCCACAACCCGGGCCTGTGCCCTTGATTAGATAGAATCGAACCTGGGACCCTTCCTTCCGTCCCCAGGCCAATGCTCTGTCCACACCCGTTAGGGTCTCAGCCGTATTTAGAATCTGACCTTTTCCAAAGGGTCGCGTCATGGGTCGGGCAAGGGAGGGGTGGGACCGGGGAC